CGCCTTCGCAGGTAACGGTCTGCCCGACGGCCAGGGGCTGGCAGCTTGCCCTCCCTTCCCAAAGTGCCGAGAGTCTCCCAAAACTGTGGGTTCTTCTTCCCTGCCAGGGATCGGCTCTGGGAAGGCTCCGCTGGAGCAGTGTATTCAGCTGGCAGAGAGGCCTGGGGTGGGGCAGGACTCGGACTGGCTAGCCTGCCAGCACTTAATTATTGATGAGATCTCAATGGTGGATGGCAAGTTCTTTGACAAGCTGGAGGCAGTGGCGAGGTGGGTGATTGTCAGATCTAACAACTAGCAGAAATGAGTTTCCCTAAATTTCCCGTCTGCTTCCTTTTTCTGGTTATGTGAATCGATACCAGTTAACCACTGGTATAGGACTGGAAGGAAGCATGGAATCATAGCCAGCACATGGGCAGACCTTTATCTTGAGATAAGTTTTGATCCTATGCCTGATCCCCAGCTGTGACTGTTCTGGTTGTTTTCTCCATCTCCGGAGCCAAGTGTTGTCTGTACAGCTGAGTCCAGAATACAGCTATCTATTTATGCTGTGCCCAGCAGTTCTCTCTTGCAGAGAGAAGCAGCTGTGGTCTAGCAGCCACAAAAGAGCCAAGACTGGTAATGACATCTGAGGTGGGTAAGCAAAGCAATTTTAATATTGCATAATAGCTTCGCTTTATTATTTGAGATCATCTGATGCAGCTGAGGATAATCATCCTTGACTGCAAGTGGTGTATGTTCAACTGCACTGACAGACTAAGAAGTAACTTCTGAGGCCTGACTGTCTAGGGCCTGGAGGGTGTTTATAGCTTCTCTTCTCTTCCCGTCCTTTCAGGGCAGTCAGGAAACGGGATGAGCCTTTTGGAGGAATTCAGCTAATCATCTGTGGGGACTTCCTGCAGCTACCTCCAGTCTTTAAGGCTAATGAAGAAACCAGGTTCTGCTTCCAGGTACAAAACTGTCCCTAAACTCAGTTCTCATACTTCAAGTCTGCATCTTTCTTAACAAGAGAATGATTTGCCAGGCACAAAGCTGGAGGAAATGCATCCACATAAACATGGAGCTGACTGAAGTGTGGAGACAGACTGACAAGACCTTTGTCTCACTCCTGAGTGCAGTGCGTTTAGGCAGGTGAGGAGAAACTTGGCTCTTTTTGTAATCCCTCTTCCTTACTGATGGAGCAGAGGAAAGAGCACTTTGTCATGTCTCTGTGCTCTATCAGAAACGTGTGGCTGGGGACAATAGCTATAAATGCTTTTGTTAATGTAGGTGGGTTTCATATGTGCAGGGCCAGGGCACACACTAGCACTGCTCTCCAGCCTTGTGTAGTTATCCTCCCCTGTCCTCTCTCTAGAGGCTTAGGGCTTGTACTACCTGATCCAACTGTGTGGAGGTTACTGCTGCTAAAGACATGTACCTGAACACTTTAAATAATAATCCCCTTTCCTTGTTACCAGGTGCACAGAGGAAGTTACCAAGCAGCTGATGCAGACCGCTGCCAACAGGTCTGAGCGTGATGGGATCCTGGCTACACGTCTCTGCACCCACAAAGATGATGTAGAAATAACTAATAAGAGATGTTTGCAACAGCTATCAGGTGAACTCATGGGAGGAAACTGCTGGCTGTGGGGCTGAGCTCTGAGTGGGTGCTAAGGGGTTACTGTGTTGTCAGGAGGAACTGCTCTGTTAGGCACAGCAGCACTAGTCCAAGCTGTGTGTTGGAGTTGAGCTGCCTGGGGAAAAATTTGCCAGCTTTTTGGTTAAAAAAACCCACGCTGTTATTTCTTGGTATGTAATAAATAGCAATTTCCTTGCTTGCTGTGAGGTAGGGTGGGTTGTTATTGCTTCTGTAGCCCTGCTTTTTCTTTCTGTAGCATCTCAGAAAGCACATGCCCAATCTAGCCATGACTTGAATTAAGGGTAGTTTAACTTCTTCCTCTCTGTCTGGACCTTTTTCAGTCTTGTTTGGAGATCTGATGTTAACAGCAAGTGAAAGTGGCCATATGCTCAAAATGGTGACTTTTCAATTCTTATTTTCTGCTGGCTTTTGATTTCTGAGCCTTCTTGTGCTCTGGGAGTTATGTTCGGAATGAAGGCAATAGTGAACTTTCTGCTGTTAGATGTGACAGCATTTGTGTGCAGATGTCCCACTAGCAGAGAGGAATGGATATTAAAAGAGGGCCTGCTGTTAGAAATAAATGCTGAACTTCTTGCAGTGCTGTGTGGAATATGTTCAAGGGTTGCAGTTGTCACACCTTTCTTTCCGTAACAGGAAAAGTGCACGCTTTTGAGGCTCTGGACAGTGACCCAATGCTAGTGAAGTTAATTGATGCTCAGTGTCCTGTGAGTAGTAGAGTTGAGCTAAAGCTTGGAGCTCAGGTGAGTGTGTACATAATTTGTGAAAGACCAGTGGATCAAATAGTGTAAGAAAAATAAGGGAATAGCAGATAAATGTTTAGAGTAGATTAACATATAGAATACAGATTCTATATAGAACAGTTGTACAAGGCCACAAAAGTTTCTACCCCAAATTTTTTATCCTTTCTGCTTGGAATTCGTTTGATTTGAGTTCAGGTCCACATCTTGTGGACAGTAGTGAGTGCTATGGCTTTGACACACATTTCCAATGAGGTTTAGAAGCTGCCTGGTATTGGAGAGCACAGGCAGTCCTTGCCTTCAGTCTCAGCTCCAGGTACAGCAGCTCTTCTCCTCTCGTAAGGTTATGGCACCACTTGCCAAACTTGCAGGACTGGGCACCTTGCTGTGAGCTCTGTGTCAGAGTGGAAAGGATCCAGGGTTGTGCTTAGCAGCCTTGGGAAGTTATTCTTTTAATGTTCCCAGAATCTACATGTCTGGCCTGGTTGGTGTTTGGAGAAGGGGAGTCTCTTCACTGAATCTGAGCTTGGAGCTGTGGACAGAAGCAGCTTAAGTGAGATGTTCAGTGCTGTAGAATGATGTAGTTGGGAATCCTAGGGAGTAAAGGCTGTGAAATAATATCAATCAAATTGGAGACGGTGCTCTATCCTGCAATAGGATGATGTAGCTATTGTTATATCAGCATGCTGTGCTTATACTTTCTGGCTAGAAGCTTAGCTGTAGGTGGCTGAACAGGCTGTCAAGTCAGCGTACTAAGGGATTTTTCTATTTCTCTGTAGGTGATGCTAGCTAAGAATCTGGATGTGTCTCAAGGCCTGGTGAATGGGGCACGAGGAGTTGTTGTAGGATTTGAGAGTGAACAGAAAGGTAAGTAAGCTTTTTGATTTTTTTGTTGTTATTGTTGAAGGAAGAGAAAACTAACATAATTTATCATTGATGGCTGATGACTTGTTAAGTTTGTTTACTGCTTGGTAAGAATAATTAGAGGGAAAGCAGGGAGGAGGTGTCTGCAGTGAGAGAGGCTTGGGGCTCTCCTGAGCTGTGGTAGCTACAGCTGATACAGTGCATAACATCTGTAAGGCCTTTTGTGTTTTTATTCTCTAGATGTGTATTCGTGTACATTTTTGAGGCTCTGGACAATGACCCAATGCTAGTGAAGTTAAATAATGTTCAGTGTCCTGTGGGTGGTAGAGTAAAACCTCATTTGCACTTCCTGTCTGTTCTGTTGAAGCAAGTCTTGGTTGGGTTTTTTGATTTGGTTGTTTTCCTTGGACAACAATATTCTGCTGCCTGCAATGTATTTTTCTCTGCATCTCAACTGATAAATTACCTGACTTCACCTCTCCTGCTCAAGTAGGTCCTAAACATCATTTCAGGACGTCCTATTTACTGTGGGTGTGGTGTTTTTTCATTTCTGTGTCATGTTTTTGGTGAGGATTTTTTTTTTTTATGCAGGCCTAAAATTCATGAAACATGGACATGGAGAAAGAGGGGAGGAAAAAAGTATTCTTAGGCTGTTGGTTTCCTGGCAGTTGAGTGTCAGGAATACATCCCTGTTTCTCTCCCACTGCCATTCCTACAGGGCTGCCTAAGGTGCGGTTTCTCTGTGGGGTCACACAGGTCATTGAAATGGAGAAATGGGTTTTCAGAGGACCATCAGGAGTTCATCTGAGTCGTCAACAGTTGCCTTTAAAATTGGCATGGGCCATTTCCATTCACAAGAGTCAGGTGGGTGTTCTTAGGCAGCTGTCTGTAGACTTTCACACCATCAAAAGCCTTATCTCCTGGGTGAGCTTCCATTGCTGTTGAAACAGGAGGGAAAACTGAAAGGCCCTGGTTGTGGGGTGCCTTGAGAATATGTGTCTAACTGCAGAGGAGGTGGCACCTCTTCTGCTTCTGATGCTTGATAGTGTCAAAGATGGGCCTCCAATACTTCTAGAGTTTCCATCAAGGTGCTGCCATCTGCATAGATTGGGCTAGAGTATAAAGCAGCATTATTTACTGCTGTGGGCTGATCAGGGTAGTGTTTCCATGAGAGTCATCAGCACTAGTGATACTGAGGTTTGCAGTGTACCTGAGGAGGCTGCAGGAGTCACAGCTGTGATATGTGGGCTGGATCTTACCCTTTGGTGCTGTGTGTGTTTGTGTTTTTTTCTTTTTTAATATAAACTAATACAGCTCCTACCTTTCCAGAATACTTCTTACACTTTGATAAGTACTTGTCTTGGTATTAGATCTGTGAGTTTGCTCCCATGCCACTGCTTAAACTAGGCCATGTTGTAAATTTGGCTGCCTCCTGGGATGTCTCTTGGTGCAGATGGGGAAGGGCAGGCCAGGCCCAACCCAGGGTCTGCCTTGAATGGTCTGCCTGAGGACTACTTGAGACTGGCTGCTCCAGTTAATTAACAAGAGTGAGAACAGCAGGACTTCTTTCTCTGCTGTGTTGATTGTATGCAATTTGTGGAGTTTCATGCACCAAGAGGTTTGCTGGAGCTGGAGTGGACCTTACTGTCTGCTAGGAAATTCATGACAGTGGGAAATCTGTCCTTTTCTTTCTTCCCATCTTTTAATCAGTTACATTGACAAACAAAAGACTTTTTTTTCCTGTCAAGCCAAGGATGGTACCGTTTGACAAACTCACAGGTTAGTGTTGATACAGCATAGTGTTCTTTTTTGTTTGCTTGTTCTGTAACAACCTTCTCTGTGTCTTTGATAGGGTATGTCCTTAGATTGTGTGGAGATCTCCCTGTCTCGTGTCTTTGAATGTGGGCAGGCTTACGTAGCCCTCTCCCGAGCCCGCAGCCTTGCAGGTCTCCGTATTCTGGATTTTGATCCAAAAGTAGTGAGAGCTGATCCTACTGTGTTGCAGTTCTATAGGCAGCTGAGACGTCATCAGCTTACAACCCAGGTAAAGAAAAATCCCATGCTAGCAAAGCCTGCCTTGTTCAACCAGGGTGAGAGAGGCTACTTTTTCTACCTCAGCAAGATCATTCAAATTAAAACTTGTAGTGGCAAGAGAGATGAAACTGCAGAAAGGAAATATGTTTGGGCAGCTTTTGGTGGCAAAATGTCTACTGTAGTGTTTGGATTGTATAACACTAACTGGCACTGTGGGTGAAAGAATAGGTTGGGATTCTTTGATCCTCCTCTTGTAGGAGCTGAAGGGGAAGTGAGCATACAAGACGTCGTTGTTTTTTATTTTTCCTTTTAGCTTTTCTTTTTTCTTCCTTCCCCCACCTCCAGGATTCACTACACACCCATTCAGGTGATGATGAGAAGGAGAACTGGAAATGCAGCTGAGAATGCTCTTCTGGCCTCTGTGAGGCATCAGCACAAACTGCTGAGTTGCAGCAACTGAGTATATTTGATAACATAAAGTCAAAGGAACATTTTCAGATATTTGTTTCATTCAGCTGATTCTGGATGTGTAGAAGTATCCCTATGTTATGCCTCTGAAATTTGGAAGGCCTCTGTAGCCCCTTTCTGGGCCCATATCTTTGAATACTTCTGTGTCACAGATGCAACTCCAGCAAACAAAATGACTGAAGAATGATGTTTCTGAGGGACCTTCCTAAGGTTCCTGTCTGCCTGGTTGCATTTTGTTCTCCACATATGTAAACTAAAACTTGTGGGCCTTTCTTCAAGTATACCATGGTTGAGGGGTGGGAGGTGTGCGTCCTCATTGCCTGGTTGGATTGGAGCTGTTCCCAAGAGCTGCTGACACAAAGGAAAGCATTGCTAATGGTCTGGAATACATGCTTGATTCTCCTGCAGGTGAGGAGCTGCCAGGAGCTGGGCTATCAATTTATAACATGCTGGGGTGTTCTTGACTTCCAGATGCTTAACACCAGGAGGCTTTGCATAACTTCCTCCCCAAGCGGAACTGTTATACCTTACCTGTAATGCTGATACATAGCCTTTTTATTAGTCTGTTGCACACAATAAGATGTGATTTTATTTTTTTTAATCTTCCAAGATGAGCTGGCATTGTTTGAAGGTAGGAGGAAGTCCTACATCTTATACCCAGAATTATGGAGCTACAAGAATTCTGAAGATCCATTACTCCATTAGCAAGGAGGGAGTGAGAGGAAATGGGTGCTGGTGGGAGCCCCAAATTTAAACACAAGGCTTGCTCAAATGGGAGGGAGTTTCTGCTGGAAACATTGTCTATATATGTGTGTAATAGGGAATAATGGCCAAGGACATGTGAACTGTAACTTCACCTGTTTCAGAATGACCATAATGATTACACTGTCTTTTTGAAGCCTTAATAAAGGAGAAGCTTTGATCTTTGTATTTTAGCACATGGCTTAAAGCTTAAGTAACCTGTATTTTTTTTTTAATGTTTAACATGGGAATAATGTGAAATATCAATGTCCATCTGGAACTCATCTCTTGCCAGGGGACTGTCTCTGTAACAAAGCCTTTGCAGTTTGAGCAAGTTGAAGCCACTTCTTGGCAGCTGGTGGTCTTAAAGCCGGGGAATGATGTTGACTAGGCAGTAGTAAACAAAACAGAAAACAGCTTTTGGTAGGATTTCAAAATGTGTGTAGTGTGTGCTGTGTGTGTGTGTTTTTTTTTTTTTT